GTGCGGAGGGGGTGGTGCCGTGCCGAAAGAAAGGGGTCGGGGCGGAGGGTGTGCCGTGCCGAGATAAAGAAGTCGGGGCGGAGGGGGCGCGCGGAGGGGGTGTGCCGTTACGAAATAAAAAGAGGTCCGGGCGGAGGGGGCGCGCTGGCTGGTGGGTGGTGGGATGCGCGGGGGGGGGGGGGGGGGCGTGCCGAAATAAACGGGTCGGGGCGGAGGGGCGCGCTGGCTGGTGGGCGGGGGGATGCGGAGGGGGTGTGGCGTGCCGAAATAAAGGGGTCGGAGCGGAGGGGTGTGCCGTGCCGAAAGAAACGGGGTCGGGGCAGAGAGGCGCGCTGGCTGGTGGAATGTGTGGGTGATGGAAGGGGTGTCGTGCCGAAATAAAGTGGTCGGAGCTCTAGACAACCTGTGCAAGATAATTAAAACAATCAGAGTGGGAGAGAGAGAGAGAGAGGTACAGGGAAGGGTGTGCAATAGAGAGAGGGAGAGAGAGGTAGGGAGAGATATGTAAAGAGAAAGTGTGAGAGAGAGAACAAAACAGAAGAAGAGACACTGAGAGAGAGAGATATAGAGAGAGAGAGACATGGAGAGAGAGGGAGAAATACATATATATATATATATATGTATATATATACATATAGATACACGTATATATATAAACAAACTAAGAGGATGCACCAGGAAACCATAACGAGAGGGGAGAAGAGAAGGAGGACCAGCTCCAGGGAACGGGGAGAACAGGGAGAGTGAGAAGACGACCATATTCCTGGGAGAAGGGGTGCGGTCGTGGCCAAAATACGGCGCCGCCATTAAGACCAGGGTTCCTACTTCCCTGCGGGCCGACTATGTCGAGGACGCATAGTCTGGAGGAACCGCAGTGGTTCGCCAGATGGCCACAACTTGGACGAAATATGAAGTGGCTGGCATATCTCTGCCAACCCCACTAGGGCATTCGACCACAAGACTGGTGGCAAGAGCATGAGGGGACAATCTGAGGACGAGAAGGGTGGGGAGTCGAAATGGGAAGATGAGGAGAAGGGGACGCGGACTGGGAGGAAGGAGAAAGAGGACATGAAGCGAACGAGCAGAACGGGCACCAGAAGCGGACCCAGGAGAGGGAAGAGGAGAGGAAGGAGCAGGATGCTGAAGTACATGGGATCGGAAGGAGGGGAGGAAAGGAAAGGAGGACCCAGAGGGGAAGGAGGAGGAGGAGGAGGTAGCGAAGGAGGAGAGGGAGGAGGAGGGCAAGGACGGGAAGAACGAGCAGGAAATGGGGAAGGAGAGAAAACGGAATGGGAGTAAATTTCCCCTGCTTCCCTATCAGCATCATCAACATCGTTATCTCCATCGAGCACCAAAATCGCCATCCTCATCTCCACCATATCCATCATCACCACCATCATCATCGTCGTCATCGTTATCGAAATCGCCTTCGTCGCGGTCAACATCGCCATCGCCGTCACCAACATCACCATGGTCATTATCATCACCGCCATCGTCACCATGACCACTCCGAACTGCCAGTACCATCATCATTACCAGCGTCCCCCAAAACACCACAATCCATAATCATACCCAGCAGCCGCCGCAGCATAACATAAGCATGTTTAGCTTCATCATCGACACCTTAACCATCAACGCAATCACGATTGACGCTATTAAAACCATCGCAACGTATATACCTGGTTTCACCACCATGAACGTCACCGGCATCACCATCATAACCTTCATCACCATCACGGTCAACATCACTACCATTACCATCCCCACCGCCACAATTACCATCACAAACCATACCCATGATCCTCAGTTTCCTTTACCCTCACCGTTTTCC